TCCCCTTGTTGCCCGTTTTTTCGCATGACGTTATTAGTATAACACAACACCTCCACCTATATTTATTCACCGTTCTTTCTTTCGATATGTATATAAGACAAAGCATGAAACAGGTTATACAAGCTACCTTTCAACCATCTCATTGAAACCAGTAATTCATACATTCAGCAAAGTTTCATTAATTTCTATCAATGTTTCTAGCAGTGTGCCTGTCTGTGTGAGCGTGGAGGAATCCATGCATTCCTCTCTGTCTCATTGTTTCCTTTTAATCATCTCCTTTTGACAGCACGCTTAAGACTGCTAAAAATGGTGAGATACATGGTTTCAAATCTCGAAAAACCACGTGATGCCGGGGAGTCACAACAATGCACCAGGGATGGTCAATTCCATACAGCACATTTTGTATAAAAACATCCACTGTATAACAGCGTGTAAAACTGAAAGAAGCGAATTGAGATGAAAATCCTGGTAACAATCATTGTGCTTCAAGCAGCATGGTGCGTGAGAAGCGAAGGTGAGTTATTTGAAGAATAAATAAAATGCATAAACAGGAATACATTTATCGAGATGAAATAAACACCGTGGACTCATGACATAAGAAAGAAAAAAAGTATTTTATTGTTCCATTTTAGAATCGGGTCAGTCGAGGGATGCAAACTGTGGGAATCCGGAACTTCTGGTTTCCACATTGAAAGGCGGTTGGACTGTTCCAATAGAAAAGAAACAATTTACCGGTGCTGCCACATGCGACTACGTGCTCATTGCTGCAGAAGGAAAACAGGTTAAACTCGAGTTTACAGATTTCAAAGTGAGTCCAATGTTAGAAATACATCACATCTCATAATCCATTGGTATACATGTTTTCTCTCATCCAATTGTATTCAATAATATACCCCACGACATAACTAAAAACCCTAGATGTTACCGATTTTTCTACTCACTCTTTCTATACGATAGAATGCATCTGAATTGTGTTCGAGTCCGCGATGTTCGGTTGTCTATTGCGCTCTGTCTTCTGACTCGTCATACAATTTTTCCCAACCTTACATAGCTTTGTCAAATCAGATTCTTATCTTTTACTTAATATCTCGTCAAGCATTGAGCTGTCATTCATCTCATCTTTTTAGATTGCAACAAGTTTCTCATTTGTGAAATGAAAGGTAATCATTTGGAATATAATTTTACTATTTATTGTAAATGAATTTATTTCTCGTCTGGTCAGGTTGGACCGGAGCTAGAAACGTGCACTGACGATTATGTACAAGTTGGTAACAGTGCAGATTTCGCCCAGGACAACTACAAGAAATGCGGACCGTCCGTGAGTGAGCAGCCACCTGTCTCGAAATCGAACAAATTGTATGTGAAACTTGTCGCGGGGAAAACGAACGCTGCAAACATCAGATTCGTCGCTACCGTGTCGGAGGGTGAGTCGGAAGTTGGCCGCAGTCATTATTGTTTTTGTTTGTTGATGAATGCTTTTCTCAGCCATTCCTATCTCCATTTTTTCAAAATGATTTCGCTTATACTTGTTCCCATTTGATGGTTCTGGCCTTTATCAGCCTCGTTCTCGTAATCATATAATTATTTGTAGTCTGTGTGATTTTCATACTAAGGAATGTCATACTTTCATCCATAAGATACCCAAGAACTCAAGCTATCCACTCACCTATATCTCCAATAAGCTGGCACATGAAATACTGTCAGATCCTGTGTCACCTTCGTAACCATGTTCTATCTAAAAGTATCTCAATCTTCTCTACTCACTCGAAGTACTTACCTTTTTAATCTCATACAAAAGCACACCACTTGTCCATGGTTATTTTTTTGGCCCGCTTTTATGCCTACCCGGATCTTATTTCCCGTGATTTATGCACAGCTTTTATTTAACTTCGTAGTCGTAGTGTAATGTGATGTGTTGACGTTTTATTGAGTTATATACAAGCTTTTAGCCAAAAGAAGATCATCGTCACAATATGGGGAAAAAGGAAAATCGTGGGACATGAAACGTGCAAAAATGTGGATTATGTACCAAATGCTTCTGATAGCTCAGGATGAGTACTCTCCCTGTCGATTGATGTCCAGAGCAGGTTGAGTATCAGGGAGGTTGTGTGGGCAGATACCGGGATAGGATGAGAATGTATTTGAAATAAGTGGACGGTTGGACTTTGCGTACCCTCAGGTCACGGTGTAAAGGATAGGTGGAATCAGATTGAATTTTGTGAGCCAAATTCAAGCATTCATCAAAAGGAACCTCACTGATATGATCTATCAGGAGACATACCAGAACTCGAAAACACGACTGTTCATTTAGAGGCCATGCCTCAGCATCTCCAAGTCAACCTTCTGCAAAAAGGGTTAATCTCATGGAAGTTTTGAATGGGGATAGAGAGAACACATCGTTGAACAAAAGCTCCCATTACTGACACGTCAGAATAGAAGTGACAAACTATGCTTATGTGAATGGAGAGAATTTAAAGTTTTCGAGTAACAGTTTGGGTACGTAAAGACCGAAAATTATTTTAACGTGTGACGCTTAAATACTTCACATGGCTGACCCTACTCATCGGCTATCCCCGAATCTGTACATTGTCGGCGGGAGATGAGGGAACGATACTAAGTAGGAATACTTTCAAAGTACTTTTCTCGATTGACATTGGATAAAGTGTAATACGTAACGAGATGGGATGAATTAGTGCTAAATGCTGTCAGTTCTTTTCGATCAAATAAGGAAAGAGAATTGGTGAAATCATCGGCATGATTAAAATGTCGTAGAAGGGTAGTGATAGGTAAACCTTCGATTTAAGTATCAAAGAGAGAGAGGATATTGTGATAGCACCTAAAGTACTATTAAATGTAGCCATTGACTGCTTTTTTCACAATTTAAAATACTGATATCTTTGCGAAAAGTAAGCACAAGGCCATATGTGAAGAGAAATGGGATGAACAAACGATTTTAGCAAGTGGAGCAAAAGAGAACGGGGCACCAAGTCAATAACGGAAGAACAATCAAGAGATGAACAGTGCACATATTTGGCTTTCGCGTTTAGGGACTTGCAGATGAAGTGAACTAGGGAATATACGGCATCCGGTGTACAGTGATTATGCTTGTATGCAAACTGATAAAGGACATCGGGAACGGTGGGGGATAACTGTGGGCGATGTAGAATCGGGCGCTCCATCAATTTGAAAGCAGAGCAATAGCCTCAAACGTTTCGTAATTGGAGTAGTCTGTTTCGTTTCTTTGGGGGTAGGTGTAATTCTCACCAGACGCCAGCACTCCGGGACGCTTTGTCATTCCGTTGTGGGATTAGCGGTGTGCAAGAATCTGAGACAAAGGTTCAGTACAGTGTTCAAGGTGTTAATATTCTACCATGTTTACAGAACAAAGTTATTACAGGACAGCAAACGTCAAAACACACGGTTTAACACGTCTTTCGGAAAGGTCATATTGGACAACCACGTTATCTGGAGGAGACAGTCGGCAACTACTTTGAGAAGAGAGCAATTTTGTCCGGAAAAACGTCTCGCTGGAGGAACACGACGTGTTTAGGTCGCGTAAAGGAACATTTTCCTGAGTGTGAGTGAATCATATGCTTGACCAGGATCAGGTTATGATCGCTGGTACTTGAGGTGGAGAAAAGTTCGGTAGAAGATATGTCATCGTGATTAGGTTATCCAGAAGAGAGCACCTTCTTGTGGACTTCTATAATATGTTCACCGAGATTTAGGCAGAATAGAGGGTGTGTGGTTCAAGCCACTAACAATCAAGTTTAGATGTCTGTAAGATATGAGGTGATAACCGGTAGGGAATGATAACCTACAACGGGGATACAAAGAAAGCGGGGAAATTTGGGTGACAGACGACGGTCAAGCAATCAATGCCATTTTGTGAATATTTGAAAAGTACTTTGGACCTGCCACAGATCTTGCAGTTGAAGTAGGTAATCATACCGTTTCTCAGTTTCTGCCGGCACCGTTATCTGCTCTGTCTGAAGCACACGAAAGTATTCGGTTGAGCCGCGGAATCAGCCACGTAATCACTGGGTCATGACTACTGTGGACACAAGATAAAAGAAGTGCAAAATTTTCTTTCGCAGTGACAGGAAGGATAAATGTGGAAGCTTCCGGAACAAAGAAAAATCATTGTTACTAACAACTGTAGGTACAGTCATCTTGTTGGGAAAAGTGCAACGAAAGACTGTTTAACAACCAGCACGAATGCGTTCTCTGCGCTTTTAGTTTTTGTGTGCTTCACCATTGACTGGCACTCCAAACAATGTAGTGTGACTTCGCATCACAGCGTGCTTGAATTTCAAAATGAATCCCTCTATCTATATGGGATAAGCGCGAAATTCAGTTCATAAATTCCACAATGCAACGTAAGGGACAAATTTGAACCCAGCAATTCAAATGGTGCGTGATTATATTATCGTGTATCCACTCATTACTCGATGTACTTTGTTTGGTATTTGACATTTGAATCTGCATCCGTTTATTGGTAATACCTAACTTGACTGGATTAAGCAGTTTAATTCGAGTGTTTAATTGGACATTTGATGTATATCATTTAGTCACGGCGGGAACTGGTCAAGATGCAAATTGTGGGGATCCGGAACTTCTGGTTTCCACATTGAAAGGCGGTTGGACTGTT